CAGCCAGCCAGCCAGCCAGCCATCTTTTATCAGAATTAACACAGTAAAACATAAACATGAAAAAATTCAGAAAATGAGATTAAGAAAGAATGAAAGATAGAGGAAAAGTGCATAAACTAAAAAGGAAAGAAAGAAAAAGATATTTAAAGAAGTGACTTCCAATCTTCTTTGCAGCAGTTGCAAACAAAATTAGTATCACTCCATCCCCTTTAAGATTACATGACATAGTTCACTTCTTCCCATATTCAACCCATTTCAACTGGCGAATCCAGAAAGCATCAACCACTTCATTTTCAGCAAAAATTCAATAACGGGTTTCGAATGTTTTACAAAAGTATTTATTCTATTATCCCTAATCAGATAGGTCAGACTTCTTTTCTCTTGTGCAGTATTCTGATATTATTAATCCTTAGCTTAGTGTAAAGATGTCATAGAACCTGGTTTCTTGTCTTTTTCCTGACAAGGTGCACAAGTGTATTTTTCAGTACATTTCTTAACTTTTCATTTCTTATGTTAATTCTTTACACCTTGTCCACTTCTACTTCCATGTCGTTTTCCTCCCATTCTTAAAAAAAAATAATAATAATACGGGCTTCAACAACCCTCTGTTTAATGTCTTCAGCAGGTTGTTCTGTAGCTACTGTCAGTCTCAGGCAAGACTGATTTCTCTTTTAAATTGCATAGGGTCACATTGTCTAAATCTTTTTTTCATTTCTTCTTCGCTTATTGTTTCACTAAGCTGTCTCACTCATTCGTGTGGCAGATTCTTATCTTTTTTTATTCATCTTTTCTTCTATATTTGCACGTCTTTCTTCCATTCTTCCTTTAAATTAAATCAAATCTTTCTTAACAGACTCAGTCAATGAGACTACCGCTGCCACTGAAATATTCTTTTCAAATTTTTCCAACATCCTTCTTATAGTCTCTGGAATAATCCCTGTTTGCTCAGTTGATGGTCCTTTCCTCCCTTCTTTTGTTTTTGTTCCCTTATCCTTTTGTTTAAGAAAATCCTCCAATTAGTCCTCTTACACATTCTTTTTCCTTAAAGATAGTTTGTTTAATTAAGTCCAAAGTACTTGAAAACAAACAATATTCCAGATTTAACTGGTCCCTTAATCAGCTTTAAAGTTTCATGGTCCAAACCAGTAAGTTTTTTTTCTGTTCAGTTAGTTGTAAATACTTATAATTACACTATGTATATTCTGTTTATTTAATTAGAAAAGGTATTTTTTTAAAAAAAGTATTCAAGGCTTTTTTGGACCACTTTGAGGCATGTTTTCCTTCTTATTTAGATTCTATTCTCTCACATCCATCTTCTGACATCAAAAAGGAAATATGTAAACATATGCATATGTCTCTGAAATACAATTTAAAAAGATCCTGTCTGACTGCTATGGGTGGTATGTGTCTTCTTCAACCCGGGGTCCTTTACCAGAGGCCTGGGAGTTTGAGGACTCTGCGCAGTATCCTAGCTGTTCCTAGCACTGCGCCCTTCTGGACAGCGAGCTCTGATGTTGTTCCTGGGATCTGTTGGGGCACTCTTCCAGCTTACGAGTCATAGCCCCAAGTGGTCTTACCACCACTGGACCACTTTGGTGTTTACTTTCCACATCATCTACAGTTCCTCCTTCAGGCCCTGGTACTTCTCATGGCCCTTCTTTCTGATGTTTCTGTCACTTGGCACCACTACATCAATCACCACTGCTGTCTTCTGGTCCTTGTCTACTATCACGATGTCTGGTTGATTGGACAGTACCTGCATGTCCATCTGAATCTGGAAGTCCACAGGATCTTCACCGTGTTGTTCTCCATGACCTTCTGTGGAATCTCTCATCTGGATTTGGGAAGGTCTAGCCCATACACTGTGCAGATATTCCTTTACACAATATAATACATTGAAATACCAAAAACATTTTTAACAGAAATTTCAATAGACCTAGACTACATCTTTCTTTTATAATAATGTTTATTAATATTTACAGATACAAAGATAAAAAAACAATGCAAACTAAGACAAATTTAAAAATACAAAATAAAAAGTACATAGAAAAAATGTAAAAAAGAAAAAATAGTAAAAACAAAAAAAGGAAAAGTGATATATAGTGAAATTACTTTCACCTTCATCAAGACAAGTACAAACAATTTCAGTAACTTACTACATTCTCTGATACTACAACAAAATATCTCTTCTTCCCATATCTCATCTCTTATCAATAAACAAGCGTTAAAGCTTTGTCATTTAATCCTAATCAGCAAATGTCCATTAAGAGTTACCAGAAATAACAACATATATATTTTAAACTTAATCAAATAAACTAAGTTTATATTCCTTTCCTTTTAATACAATAACACCACTTTCTCTGAAAATACAACAAAATATCTTTTCTTCCCATATCTTATTTCTTATTTATAAACAAATCTTTGCCTCATCATTCGTCCTCTTCAAGAAAAGTCATCAAGAACTACCAGAAAGAGCAACATATATCTTTTAACTTTCATCAGATAAACCAACTTTATATTCCTTCCCTTTGCTTTTCAACTATCACACACTGAGTTGACATTTTTAGTAGATCACTCTAAGATCGATTTCCTGATTAGTTAAA